GAAATTTAGTTAAATAACGAACAGAATAATTCAAAGTATTGTTTATTTATTCATTCATCACGAGGGAAGAACGGAATTAATTATGCGTAATTAATGCAAGTTATGCAAATGAAATTTATTGAATATTGCCATTCGTTATCGATGAAGAATGTGAAATTAAATATTGAAAATTGTAACGAGGCGTATTTTCATCTGGTGTTTGACTTTTTTCTTTTTCTTTGGTTACGCCTCGTTACGAGAATCCCCTCGAATGGCCAACACCACTCCTCCGCCCAAGCGAACCCCCCTCGCCGTTGGGGCACGTATGGATGAATGAGTAATATCTAATAAATGTATTAACCGGTCTACCTTACATTCACAGGAAATTTATTAAAATAGCACTCACCCATTGTTTGAAAATAATCCTGTTTGAAAATAATCCTTCAATGAAAGCGTTGGGGGTCCTGAGTCGTCCCGCTGATCATGACCTGCCGTAACATCGGCACCGTATACCACAGCTGACAGCACTCAGAGGTCACTGCACTGACTTCAGTTCACAATACGATCATTTTCACTGTCATTTTTCAGCAAATCTTTTCAGCTGCTTTCTTCACGCCGCGGTTCGCGTTTGTAAAGCAAGAATTTACTCACGGTTCCCGAGTCAGTCTATCGAAACAACCCATTTTTTAATAAACGAGAAACATTATCCGCGTTATATCGCGTTTGGTCTCATTTTAATCGGGAAAACGTCACCAATATGTTTAAAAGATTTTAACACGCTTCTGCCCAAACGGTAAAGCGGCACTACTTTTCGCGACCATTCTCGTGCGGAACGCGAAACACAACTGCCGAACAGAATATGCAGGCGTTTTTCTAAAACAGTTGAACGTTCTTGACGCGGCAACGAGCCGTGCCATTGCGAACGTTTCTGGAAAAATACTACACAACTGAATATCTACGACACGATATTACCGATGTATTGTTATGGTTCGTTCTTATTTGGCTCCGAAAGAGGCCGATTATTATGGTTACTTCCTTATGATTTAGCACTGATAAGGGCCGATTACTGTTTGATTTCTCATGATTTGACCCTGAAAAGGGCCGATTATTTAAAATCTTATTTTGTGAACCATTTTGTTCCTTTGATTAAAAACTGAGTGGCCCCGAAAGGGGCCGATCACTGCCGGAAGTAGAAGTTTACAGGATGGGCTCAAAATGTCGAGAATGCATATATGCGGCGTTAGTCCGCAAAGGGTTAAATACTGTTTTGTACTTCTTGAAGGAATCTTTTAGGAGATATGATTGGTTTTTTCCTTGTACAAAGAAACTTCTTCTATTGGTTGAAAAAATCTAAGCAAATAGTAAACCGAAGAAAATGGAAGCTTTACAAGAATAAAGAATATAAAATTTTTAATAACAGAATGATTCATAAAACGTACTGAAAACTTTATTTCAGTAATCTCATAAAACACCAGCAAGTCTAATGAGATATTCTCGGGAAAGTTGATTGGTCATCAGAAAAAAGGATAGCACGATCAGTGAAGACAACTAAATCCGAAGACCGATATATTGAAAAACTAAGCAAACGTAACAGACGTCTTAGTGCACTGGAGTTAATAAAACAAGACAAAATCCCATCAGCGTGTCGACTGTCAAACGGCGGCTACTAAATGTTGGTCTCCGTGGATGTGTGGCAGTCAAGAAACCACTCTTACGGCCCATAAATACGAGGAAAAGATTAAATTGGGCAAAGGATCATAAGGATTGGACCATTTCAGAATAGGAAAAGGTGCTTTGGACGGATGAGTCCAAATTACAAATCTCTGGTAGCAAGAGACGACAATTTGTTCGTAGAAAGCCCAATAAAAGACACCTACCTGAACTTAGCACCCGACTTTAAAAAATTTTATTTCTTTCAATTGTATCGTATTCAGCTTCGTTTGTACCCGTTTGTACCACCTTTCATTTGGTTTGTACCCTAAGGGGTGAAAAGTTACTAGGGGTGAAAAATACCTCAGCACCCCACTTTAACATTTTTTATTTCTTTCAAAGCCATCATAAAAAGGGACGTCCGTAGAGGTTTGTACCACCCTCACATTCGTTTGTATCCCAAGGGGTGCGTTTATACCGTCTTTTGAAAAAATCCCCTAAATGTAACATCGTCAATTTTGGGAACTTTTTAAATCTTCTTGGGGGTGCTTTTTCCTCTTCGCCCGTACAGGTATATACCATCTTCACTTTCGTTTGTACCTCATGGGGTTCGTGGGTACCGACTTCGGAGAAAATTCGTTAGGAGGCACTCCGCAATTTTCTGACGTATTTTAAATCTTGTTGCGCGTGGCGTTTGTTAATCATTTATACCTGTTTATACCATCTGCAACGTTTCTGGTATTGAGCTCAGAAATTAGTAGTGCGAATGAGGTGAAGTACGGCATTTACTATGGAACGAGTTCCTCTTACAATAATTATGTCTAAAAGGAATGTGGGATTTGTGGATGTGTGGTTCTGGTGTGTAACTGACATGTCAATACCTTTCAATAATTAGTTTTATTCAATTAATTAATGGTAAACATGCTTATTACAATTAACAATTATTTAAAAAGTATAAAAAACATATGTATTTTATTTAATATAATTTCGTGAAATCAACAAGTTTCGGAGCAGAGCAAAATATAATTTTATCGCACAATAAGGGGGAACTCAGAATGTGAAATGAATATAAGTGAACTCAATGCAATAAAAAATGTAGAATTAAAGTAATAAAATTTACATCGAAGTTCTTCCGTGTTGAATATTCCAGGATGTTAAACGTCTTTACTTTCGTTTGTATCTGTAACGCTTCGTTTGTAGCGACTTTTGAAGAAATCCCATAGAGTACGCTTCGCCATTTCTGGAGATTTTTCAGGTCTTCTTGCGGGCACGGTTTCCTATTAAGTACATTTGTTCTGAAATACTATGTGAAATTTAGAGGATTAAAATTAAAAAATTGCAATAATAAAAGAAAAGCGAAAATTACATACCATTCGAACAATGTAGTAAAGAGATTTTGTCTGACTCAATTTGTCTTTTGGTTGATGTTTTATGTTGTTTGATGGTTTAAAAATGAGAATTTCTTCTTTTCCATTCTTGCAACAACTGAAAAGTAATTTTCGTTTATTTACTTATTTCGTAAAACAAAGAATTTATAATTTAATTTTTCAGTGTAGTGCGACGCTGGATCGTTGCAACGTTTTTGATTTTTATGTCTTTCCCCGTGAATAAGTCAGCGGAGTGTACACTATTCAGAAGTGTATAGCCCAGTGTCGATCAACTCGCATGATCTTACGATTCGCGAGTACAATTGCTTTTGTTTGCAATTGTCAACCACCGATAAAGTCGGTGGAACTACGCTTTGCAGTGTAGTGCGACACTGGACAATTTATTTATTAATTTATATCTTTAATTATCAGACTTAATCTAAATTAATAGGGGGAGTTTTCGTTTTTGTAATACTTGCCTGAATGTAAGTATTACATTCTTTTTTTGACTGTGACAGGTCATTGTATATTTCCCAGCTTCCTGTTATTCTTTTACAATGAGAAATGTAGTGGCCTACATTTTGAGAATTCGTGCTTCCTGTACATTCGATCACTGACACTAACTTGAATTTTATATTTTCTACTATCATTTCATCCGGTACTTGTAATAATGTAAAAGTACCTTCCCAATTACAGATATTTTCTGTTAAGGCTAAATGACTATGCTGTAGTGGTTCGATGTCAAAAAATAATCAACACAAATAATTTGTTGGTATAATTTTAGTGCCAGCGGTGTTATTATTGCATTTGGTGCATAGAGTTGACTCAACCGGTTCCGGGCTGCTTCGATATCCGATAGTGTGGCTGGCCAATTTATTCTTAGGGAATTGGCGTAGAGCTTCATTTTGTTTTGTAGTGGCTCGTCTTGGATTACTTCTTTCAGTACGGGGTCAGGTGAGTCCATGGTTTTTACGGCATGCCTTAGTACCGCCAATTTGACGATGTGTTCCAGGCGAGGAAATCCCAGCCCACCATGGGATTTAGTGGTATAGATAAGGCCATCGGTTGTTGAGGGTGTTAGGTGCAGAATTTGTTTAATTTCTTGCTTCAATGCCTGATCCAGGTTCTGTAGGGTTGTTCCGTGTGGAGAACTCGCAATTAGGCCGTATAGAAAGTGAGGGAGTATGTAGCTTTAGATCAAATCTATCTTCTGGTGTGGTTTCAACTTCATCCGTTTAGTATTCTTTACTGCTTGAATTATGACTGGTATTTCCTCGCCCCTCCTTAGACCGCTCCAGGGTTTCATTCCGACTCCCAAATACGTGATATCTTGATCCGGTCGTACGGGCATAATGGTTTCTTGTTTTATTTGTATTTCCGGATTTTTCAAGTACCACGTTTTGTTCTTCGTCGCTATCTCGAAGCAGGAGCATTTGTTCAGCGCCACGTTCATTCCCAGGCTTTCGAGATATCCGACCAGTATCTCCATTTGTTTCTTTGCTTCTTTAGCATTCTTTGCTATTAAGATCATGTCGTCCGCAAATACCAAAATTGCGAGATTGCTGCTCCCTACTTGAATTCCTGCTGTCGTGTTGTTTATCTTCTCGATAACGGGTTCTATGGTTAGATTAAACAGCAGTGGTGATAGTGGATCGCCTTGTTTTACTCCTCTGTTCAGCGTGATTTCCACTTTTTCTTCGTTTTTGGCGTTGATTACCGTTTTACAATCACGGTACATGTTCCTGACCATTTCCGTTATGCATTCAGGTGCCCGTTTTCTGACCATTTCCGTTATGCATTCAGGTGTCCGCTTCATTTTCAAACTGGGTTCTAACGCAGAGTGAGGTACTGTGTCAAAGGCCTTCGAAATATCGATAACGCAGATTACTCCCCCTTTCTCCGCTTTCATTCGATTTATGGCCCTATCTAACAGTACTATATTGTTCTTGCATCCGTCTTCGGCAGCGAACCCCTTTTGCCTACTTGACTGCTTGACAAATCTTCTTATCCTAAAGTCCATTGCTCCTGAAAAGATCCGTGCGAGTAGCGGTCCAATAGTAATCGGTCTCCAGTTCTTAACATCGTTTGAATCTTTCCCAGCTTTCGGAATCAGTGTCGTCCGATTTACTTTCCATGGTTCTGGGTAGTGATTCAGGAGCATCAGGATGTTGAAGAGTTTTGTAACGACTTCAGCAGCGCCATTCTTCTTTAGATGCACTTTCGTTATTTGATCGAGCCCACCTGCTGTCCCATTTTTGATTTTATTTATTCTTTTCTCTATTTCTTGGACTGTGAATGGTGGGCATGCTTCAATATCCGGAACTGGTGCTTCCCAGGCTTCATTATTTCTTGATGCGGGTCCATTCTTGCCCCAAAGTTCGTTATATAGTTGCCTGATTTCCGTAGCTGTCGGTAGTTCCTTGTGCATCTCAACGGCAGAAAAGTCTCCACTTATTGCTATTTCTGCCAGCTTCCTTGGGCACTTCGTGAAAAGTTCCTGACAGCGGGCGAATCCGTATCTAGCGCGTGCGTTGTGATTCCTCTTGTTCTTCTTACTTCCGTTACGTTTCGCGCGCGAGTCTGGTTCGTTGCTGTTTCCGTTACAGTGCTCTTTACTTCCGATATTTAGAAGTTTTGGATTTAGTGTGTCGTTTATCCATTTATCAATTTTCTTGTTTAATTCGAGGTTTTGGTTCGTGATTATATCTTGCAGTGCTAGATCCAGTTCCTTAATGCACTCATGGAAATCGTTGTTTTCAGGGAGCGTCACATTCTGTGCTTCTCGAAGCATCACGTTGTGCCACGTTTCTTCTTGTTCTTCGTCTATATGACTCGTGTTATTAATTTCGTTGGATGCGTTTAAAGGGTGCTCCTATAAATTGCTACACTCATTTTGAGTTGCTTCGGGTTCGTTTGTTTCCATTAAAACCTCTTCTAAAGGCCCAGTGTAACGCGGTGAATAATTCTCGATCGAGGCCGTGCTTATGTTTATGTTCTGGTTGCCGCGCACGGTTTGTCTTTCCGCGGTTCGTAGATCTTTTCTTTTATTACTCTTTTGCTTTATCGTCTTCGATGGAAAGAATTCTTGAATCTTGACGTTCGGATATCTTTCGTTTTTAAACCTTTCGTTTAATTCAATTAGTTTATTTATTTCTTCATTCGTCCACAAATAGTTTTTGCGACCACGTGCACGGGTGCGTGGTGCGCATTCTTCTGCTCTTTTGTCATTTCTTGTTTGCGGGTGTCTATGCAGCTCATGTATTGACAGGCCCCTCTTCGTGGCGAATGATTCCGAACATTCTTCGCAAATAAAGTTTTTTTCCATGGTTTCTTGTACTCCTTTGCATTTTGGGATATAACAGACGCAGTTATGGGCACCGGGAAAACACTTTTTGCAACTGCGACACTGCCACTTTGTTTTCACTTCACCGTGTTGTTCATTTAGGTGTGTTTTTAAGTCTTTGAGATTTAAGAAACCAATTGATTTATGCACTAATTCACACACTGGGCAATATTTAATGTTTTCAAGCGGTAGGTTTATTGTCACTTCACGACACACACTTTCTTCGCACATGTTATTCCTCCTTGTAATAGCTTCTGGAGCTTCTCCTACCACTGAAAACTGTACCTCGCCATTGTCCATCTCGTTGTCCAGGGAAATGCCATGGTCATCATCGTATAGTCCCCCACCGGATGCAGGAAAACCTGCCGCAGACCCTCGGGGACCGTTAGAGCCTACGTGATAATGCCTCGCGTCGTCCGTCACGGTTGATTTCACACCGCAGTGACTTGCACTTCGATGTTTACACCTCGGCTGCTCGACTGAGACTGAAATAGGAGGGGCAGGTCATTACCGACCGTTGGTGTAAAGGGCTCTATCATATCAAAGTTGCTATTGATAGTATTGCCCCAGCCTGCGAGGGCGTTCCCGGCGGCCTGGGTGTAGCACATCCCTCGCGCATGGTCAGTACGTTCCCGTCTTAATCCAAGAATGAAGGCAGCATAAGCTTGTGAGCTGCCTAACGCGGCAGAACTGTCGATGCGGCCAGCCAATACTGAGAGGCGTCCAGCATTCCGATCAGCCATTCCTGGTCCAGCAGATTCAACCACCACCCATCCCAGTGATGAGGTGTTACTGCCGTGCACCGGTCTTCCAGAGTGCATTTTATATTTCGTCTCCATTGTCTTCAATGTTCCTGAGACGCGTGCCGCCAACTCTGGGCTCCATGCAATACGTGACTGCATATCTTCGCCCTGGGGAAACCCAACATCGATGATCTTCTGAAGACCCTCCGGTGTGAGTCTCTCCACCGCTGGACGGTATCCAAGCAGGTTTAGATTGGGTACGCCATGTTGCGGCGTCATGTTCGGGGGCAATGGCGACCACGCGCCAAACTGATGTGCATGGTTTTGCTCTGCCGTCGCTAAAACCAGCCTCGATGTCACTAGTGGCGATACGTAACATTCATACGCGTTGTGGTTCGCAACCCCGCAAACTCCGAATCCACCCGCCGGTTGGTCAGGGATATCCCCTTCCCCTTCAACATGTGGGTTTGGTACCGCACACATTGGAACATTCGCCCTCACAAGATCGCCCTGAGGAGTAGTAGTGTTAGCGAAATTCTTAATATACTCTGCAATGGGTGCAGGAATAACAAAATCCTCGGGTATCAGATTGAGAGGCGACTCTTCGTTCGCATATCTGTCCTCAGCATTCACAGTTTTTATGTGATCAATAATACTAGCATTTAAAATGCTGGTCATCACGTGCTGGAACGCGCAGAACGGCATCTCGCGTCTAAGGCGAGGATTTTCTACCTCTAAATCGAGGTAGGTCCGCTCTACCAACATTGGGAAAGTCGAGAGATCGAGGTTCTGGGCGTAGATCCGCACTATTGGGTGCGTACCCATTATAGGCCCATCCTGCCATAACGGCTCGTCAATAACCTTCTCTTTCTTGGCCTTGACGACTTTCGGAGTCACCTCCGCCGGGTCGGTGATCTCCTTCGATGGTACATCTCTTCTGTCAACTGGTTTTCCAGTTTTTCCTCTCCACTCCCGTGTGCGTTGACGGTTCCTGGGTTGGGGTGCTTTTCCAGGACGGAATTCCGGTTCCTGATCATCTGCCCAATTCTCAGGTGCGGGAGATTGTTGGTACTTCTGCATGTTATAGTTATACATGCGTTGAGCGTTACGGTTCATCCGCGGATTTCCAGCGGGCATATTGTTGGCCATCTGCCTATTCATGTTACAAATTCAAAGAAATTAAACTAAAAACGACTAAGAGAGTCATAGTTACTCCCGCCGTTTACCCGCGCTTAATTGAAT